GTAACTGGGACCGACGACGCACACAAAAGGTATTCCATCGCTCCTTGTACCGTTCCGTTCACTTGACAGTGGTGAGCAAAGCAAACTTAATTGCCACCGGCTTACCTGAAACTACCGGGTTGCTATGTAAATTGCACTTGAATTTGTGAGAACCGGTAGTAGCCGAGAATAGAATGGTCAACCGTAGACAAGAATACCGCCTATTCCCTGTAATCTACATCATTCATTGTGACTATTTGGGCGAAAATTTCCTATAGCAGGAGGCAATCACGCTACAGTCGGTGATCGTGAGTATACGAACAGTATAGATTTGCGAATAGCAGTGACATGAGAAAAAACAAAGTAGTGCTACTGTAGCTCAGCTGTTTCCGCAGTATTTTAGCAGTACCACAAGGACGCACGCATGTACGTGACGAACACGATGAATAGACTTCAGAATCAAGAGTTTGCAATAGATGAATTTCTATTCATGCCATCCAAGCACAAAAGCGTAACAGTGCTATCTGTTTATCACAGTTTTTATGATTTGGTCTAAGTGATAAAATTGCTTTTGAACTCGAAGCTCTACTCACTAACTTGTGAGTATTGTTGTGCAGAATAAATACAGGTTTGGTTCTGACTGATCACTGCGCACGCAAGAGTAACTATGAGCTAAACATAAATATAATCTAGCCTGGCAGTTTTATGTGGAGATACCTAAATCTGAATTGAAGAAGTGGTCTGATGGTAAGAGGCTAGCGGTAGGGGTTACAAAGTAGTAATATGTCTCCCTTTAAAAAGTGGTTTGCCAACAACTGGCTACCTCTGAACCAACTTTATTCGATAATTCTGAACAGACAGAATGTGAGCTGTGAGTTTGTGTGTTTCATGTAAGAGATCTTCATTTCAAATCCCGGATGGGGTTCAGTGAATGCGCATTATTGAGGAGCAGATGAAGGGTCTAGGCGTTCTCATGACCCAAGACTTCAAACACAACTCAGTGCTCAAAGGCTGTCAATCAGGCTAAGAGGCATCTGTTCAGCTTGTGTGTCACAGTCACATGCAGACGGCCTGAGGTTTTCGTCCCCCTGCATAAATCGATTGTCCGCCAACACATGGAGTATTATGCGCAGGCGTGGGCACTCTATTACAGGAGGGATGTAACAACATGTTTAGAAAGAGTGCAACGCCTAGATACCCGAATGGTGTCTGGGAAAAAGGGGAAGAGCTATGAGTAGCGGTTGAGAGATCTTGCTCTTTTTTCGCTGGAGCGTAGAAGAGTGAGGGGAGATATGGTAGTGGCTTTCAAAATTGTAAGAGGTCTATTGGGACTCAACCTAGATGACTTGTTTACCATTTCTCGTGCTCAAAACACGAGAGGTCATGGCTATAAACTTCAGCAGAACCACGCCAGGTTGGAAGTACGGACCAACTTCTTCACACACAGGGTCATACCTATGTGGAACAGGTTACCCACAGAAGTGGTCAACTGAGCCAATGTTAATGCCTTCAAGGTGGCCCTGGACGCTTTTTGATCAGCAACGTTCCCCGAAGTTAGTATTTAGAAGGAGAACATCAAGAATAAATTCTACTTTAGCCGAAATTTTGTGAAATAGAGTTGAGTCGGGTTTGGTTGTTGGAACTGTTCTCAAACTGACTATTTTGTCACATGTGATCTGTGTATACGAACGCATGTGTACTTCAGATCTCTAACCAATGAGGCGAGGATACATCCTTGCTTGTTTTCCTCCCCTTCATACATACCTCCACGAAAACAACGTTCTGGAAAGGGGACTAAATTGCGGGGATCAAAAGTACCGAATCATCTGTTCGCAGTGTTGGAAGCTACTCCCATCCGCCGACAACATAACGAACTGGTCGCTCGATTGGCAAGAGCCATATTCGTTCTGTGCAAACTGAACTGAACTGAAAGAGAGCGAAACTCGAGTCTGTGTATAGTGCTCACCAATGACATGGTAGAATAAATGCCCTGAACAATTTGGTCAGAATGAATGACTCATATCCCATACGGAAACATTTGCCAGTAGCTGCGACTTAATCCCAATGTATTTTTTCTGGTCAACCACTTGTGAAGCTCCCGACGCGTGATTCCTTCTAATTACCGTGCATGAGTTGTGCCTGGTTTCGTGGGCAATGTGTGCAATATTGCCGTGGAAACCATTTACACCTGGGTTGATCAGAAGCACCCAGGACATAACTGATCAAATGAATGCCAATTTAATGTTGCTCGTGGTGTACAAGCACAATTAATACTTGAAAGTGATCCAGTTTCATCATTCTCAGCTAACCAAACACATGCTCTGTCGGTGTTCATTATTACTCCACCGAGAGGTGTGCATGTGCACACGTGTAGCAGTTCGTAGTACTGGTTGACTGCTGCTGTGGCATGCAGTCGAGTGAAATGTTTACCGCACATCACCTGATTGACCGTTATGGCCCGCTACCACACGCACGTACGCACCTCATGCGGACTTACTCTGTTACAAGGTCGATCCAACTCAGCGAATCAGAGGTCAGTATTGACCAGTCCGCCTTGATTGGTTCGGTGACTGCCCAACGTGATGACATATTCCTTTTGATAACGGTTGCTCCAGTTTGTACCAGCCCGCCTGTCTGTGAGTTGACGCACTGCTTGCTCACCGACTTACGGACCGGCTACGTTTGCATTTACAGACTGGATATAGAATAACGACTTAATTCACTACTTGCGTACTTATTGACTTATACGGGACACAACATCTATGACGTATACGGGTTGTATCACTATGTTGACTACAAACACATTATCGAGGCTGGTTGAAGCAACCGGGAATAGGAACCCCATATCTGATCATAATGCATACGTGTGATGTAATGTGGTTCAGGGCTTCCCGGTTAGCGGTGGGGAAAAAACAGGAAAAAATTCACAAAGTGGAATGGACATTGCATCTTCTTTTTTTCTGGCTCTCTGTGCACATTCGGAATCAGTACACATGCAAACGTGCACCAATGGAT